AGGCCCTTGGTCGAGAGGCAGGTCCCGGAACCTCTGAGCTAAATCCCCAGCCCTACTTCACCTTTTTAAGTTTCTTCTTTTTAAAGTGGAATTTATGAGGTCATTGTGAGGATTAAATTGGATGGTGTCTCTGCAACTTCTTTATAAACTATAAATATCTCATAAAAATATTAGAAGTGAGATGACTTCTCAAAGGATACTGCTGCCACTTCGCATCACATTTTCCTGTACTTTGTTCTCTCTCCACCTTTGTCCCACCTGGTCCATCATCAGGCACTGGAAAGAAACAAAAAGCTAAGAAGGCTCTGATAAGTATTTCTTTCCAATCCACTAGCCATGGCCTTGATACTGACCTTGACTTGACCTCTCTTTTCCTCTGGCAGGCCTCACCTCAAACTTTCTCCTTGTTCTTCCAGCTTTGGTCTCACAGCAAAGAACAGCACCCAGTACTAAAAAAAAAAAAAAATCAGATGGGAGCTGATGGTGTAGCTCAGTGATACAGTGAGTGCTTTTCGTAGGCAAGGCCCTAGGTTCAATTCCTAGCACTGGAAAAAAAAAGTGAGATACAATTTCTAAAAGATTAGTAGAATGAAGGAATCCACTAACAAGTAGCAAGACCATGAGAAAAAAAGCATTATGCTAGGTTGGTAGGCTCTAGCATGATGTCGGTGAGGGCAGAATCCAGGTGTTTGTAATAGTTCAGTGAAATCAGTGTGTCCGGTAGAACAGTGTCATTTTCCCGAGAAACTTCTTCTTACTAAAAAGTGTCATAATATATAGTATAGAAATTGCGGACATTTTTAAAAAGTATAAAAAATAAAAACGACTTTTAATCTCACCATTGAGATAAAAACCCACTGATATGAGTCTGTTCATATACCTTTTAATTTGTGTATGATTGTATACGAATATATGTATGTACAAATGTATATCTACACACACCCTATGTGTTTTAGTGTGCGTGTGTGTGTATGTACTGGAAGTCTAACCCGGGACCCCAAACACGCTAGGCAAATGATCTACCACTGAACTATGTAGTGTTTTAATTGTGTTTTAATTGTGCTGATACTATGTTCAGGTTTGTATACTACTTTTTCATTCATAGTTACATTGAAAAATCTTTTCTATAGCCATTAAGTAGTCTTCAAAAACATGGTTTTTAATGGAAGACTCCTATTCCTTCACGTAGATGTACAATACTTCACCTAAATCTTTCTAAACCCTGGACACTCAGGACATTCCTAATGTTACCATTATAAGTAGTCATGCAGTGGGCGATGACTCTTGTATATAAATCTGTGTGTGCATCTCTAATTGCTTTTTAGGTTAGAAAACTAGGAGTGAAGATTCAATCAAAGAATAGGAACATTTATTAAAACTAAAACTGGAATAATACAGAGAAGATTTGCACTGCCCCTGCACAAGGCTTACATGAGGATTCATGAAGTGTTCCATATCTTTTCTGGAATTACACAGCAGTAATGGTTTTATAGCCTCGTGAAGATACTACAACACACTGAATTACACTGAATTCAAAGTAGTGAATTTTATAGAATGTGAACTGTTTTAGTAAGTGTAGGTCAACCAAAGTGGACACCAAAGCAACATTTTTCATTCTTCTGATAACATGTGATGAAATTTCCTTCAGCAAATGTATAATATCCTATCCAGCATGTATAATATCGTGCACTTCTCAGCAGCCTCACTAACACTTACGTTTAAAAATTATGCCAATGTCATTGAAAATGGCATTTTATTGTTTTGACTCTTCCTCTCCTTCCTGAAGTATCATTTTCTTTAGATCTGTCATCAATGCTCTTTACGCGCATGCACACACACACACACACACACACACACACACACACACACACTGGAAAGTCACATCCATTACAACTGCCTCATCTCTGTGGATAATGGACATATCCATGTCCCTGTCCTTCCCTAACCTTTTTCTAGCACTACAGCCTGGATGGCCAGCTGCCCAGTGGGTATGCATGCCTATAGAATAACAGCAAAACAAGTTCTTGTCTGAAATCAAACTCCCATATCTTAAAGCCAGCTTTTTCTCTCCACTGCTCTATGTAGGTTAGTGATAACGCCACTCTCCTAGGTGCTTCACAGCCAGGCTTCTCTCCTCCATATCTAATGAGCAGTCCAACCTTGTTGATTTTGCCTCACAGCTTTTATTTCCTGCTCTATCCTAATTGAGATTGTTCTAGTTTGTCCCTTTATCATGTCTACTACCCTATTCACTCCTCTATGCTTCCAATTATTTATCCACATAATTTCTCTTACATGTTGCTATGAGAATAAATGTTTCTGAAATACTTCTTGCATCATTTTACTCTCCTACTTGGGGAATTTCCAGGGCCTCTCACTCGCCTATGGGATTATGTAAAACTAGTGTTTCAACCTGACACTGAAGGCTTTCCATGCTCTTCAGTCATTCTTATTTTACTTCCCATGTCTTATAGAAACTATGGGATCTTATTTTATTGTGTTCATGCCTTTCTCACTTTTGGTCGCATAAACATGGCAGGACCTTTCTCCCAGACTTCTCCAGTAAAAATTATACTGAGTCATCCAAAATTAGCTCCGAGGTTCTGTGAAGTCTTCCTTGATTCAACCAGCTATGTGATCTTTTAAATCTGCTTTAGTTGGCATTTCCTTTCTGATACTTTTGACATTCTGCGCTGTTTATAGTTATCCAAGTTTTTTTCTTCTACCTTCCATTATATTATAAATGCTCTGATCACAGAGATTATATTCTTCATTTTGATGTGTTCTGTAGTACCTTCCGAGCACCTTAAATGTAGATAGAAACTCCACGAATGCTTGGATGAAATGATGACTCTCACCAGTGTCACCACAACCAACTTCTCCTCCTCCGCCTTCTCCTTCTGAGCTGCTAATGACTCAGTTTTGGAAATGAATACTATACTAAGAAGGTACAGACACAGTGATCCAAATGTTACAGCTTATTCTTTTTTCCCTCACTCTCCACATTCAACCTGTCAATAAACACCATCAACTCCACCTCTTCAAAATATCTCTATTTAAACCACTTTTCTCTATGCCTATTTCCACCGCCATAGAATGAACTACCTTTCTGTCTTACCTGTGAGACACTTTTAGACTAGTTCTCTGGCTTCTACTGTTTTCCCTGCTCCTAATTCCTAAATTCATAATCTAAGTGAGATCTATACAAACCTTAGATCATGTTTCTTCCCTGCTTTACAACCTCTAATAGCTTCCTGTTTCACTGAAATAAAATTAAAACTGTTTACCTTTGTCTTAGAAAACTCCATGATCTCTGGACTATATACCTCCCCAACCTCATTCATCTCTGCTAATGTCCACCTTGTTCACAGAGCCGTAGGTCTCCTGAGGATTGGCCTTTGCTCATTGTCATGTTTGCTTGAAAGCAAGCTGATTCGGTGCTACTGTTGGGGCCTGAGCTATTGTTGGCTATTGTCCTAGGGCTCCATTTCTTTAGGAGTAGAAATGACTTGGGGAGTGGCTTGAAGTAATTCTAAGGGTTTTAAGACTTGACTATGGAGAAAACCTTTGTAGATTCCATCAGATGCCTGAAAATGGTATGTCCAATACTTGGCATGAACTGAGGATATAATGAGCTTAAAGGAGGAGGAAAGCTTGTATTATTCCTGCTGCCTCCTTCTTAAGGGATGCTATAAATATTACTGATAGAAACCAGAGCTGCAGGACAAATAGCCTCCACCTTCTTTATCGCTTAGGGTGTTGGTATAGGAAATTAGGCATCATGGCAAAAGTTTTAAGGCCGTCCATTGAGTCAGACGGCCCTCTGTGTACTTTCTGCCATTATCCTTCTGTACTCCTCTGAAGTCTCCCTCAGCCCTCTCATGTTGCACCCTTGGGCTCTACACTGAGGGAAAAGGAAAAGCCCTATCTTATTATTCAGTTTTTACTTGCCCCCCTTCCTTATAAAAGATGCAAAGTATGCACCATCTACCTCCTTGCCATTAGGATCGTTGATAGGAACAGTCTATGGTGTATATATTTTATCAGCCTTCAGAGAGAAAAACTACAAATTGATCCTAAACCCACCATGAAAGAGAACTACAAGTGCTACCAAATATTTTTCTAGCCTCTGAAACTTACAAAGCTCTACCAAGTCATATGTACAGTTACTTCCTTTCAAACTTCTTTGGAAAAAGAAGTATCCCTATGTTTTAAAGATTCCAGTGTAGTCGGGTGCCTGTAATCCCAGCACTCGGGAGGCTGAGGCAGGAGGATTGCTGTGAGTTCGAGACCAGCCTCGGCTACATAGTGAGTTCCAGGTCAATCTCAACTACATAGTGAGACCCTGTCTCAAAAAAAAAAAAAAGATTCCAGTGTAAAAAATGGAGTAATAGGAACAACAGGTCAAATGTCATGTCTCCAGCCAGATGAAATTAATGCTTCCTACTTGGAAAACCAGAAAGCACCTCCTGGCACATATGCCCTGCAGCATTTGGAAGGTCTTTATTTCTGCCCCAACATTCTCTTTTTACTTATTTTCTGCCCTGGGTTGATTTATAGACAGAGTTGGATCCTGAGGTGGAAGGTAAAGATACGCAACTAGTAGATTTACTTGGAAGAAGTTGACCTGGCTATTTAAAGGGAGGAGAGGGGACGTGTGGAAGCAGAACTGGGTACCAAAACCTGTTCTCCAGAAAGTATCCATCTCTCAGATGATCCAGATTATAGTGGTTTCAGCCTGTACACACACACACACACACACACACACACACACACACACACACACTTCCCCCTTGGCTGAGTCTGTATAAGGAAGGGTCTCTCTGAATCACCAGGCTACAATGTCCTGCAGACAACAGTGGGGTGGGGGTTAGAGCTCTGTGTCCCTCCATAGTGACCAAGCAAGTTTTCCCTTCCTCAGTGAGATAAACAAGCTATGCATTGTTCTGTCCTCCCCCACCCCCAGGCTTCCCTTCCTGCCTAGCCGGTAGGTGGAATGTGCGCTTTGGGGGAGGCTAGAAGAGCAACAGAAAGTAAACAGAGATAATCAAGAGCATTTTTTTGTGTGTGTGCTTCTCCTTATCCAAACACTTTCAAAAGAGGAAAGAGCCCATATTACATTATAGCTCAAACTTCAGTACCAAGCAACAGGGGCATTTTCTTCATACCCTAACTTGGGTAGAGCCATGATTCTCTTTGTGCTGTCCTCTCCCAAGAAGTGTCTCTTAAGGGATCTAGTGGGAGCCAGGTACAGAGATAGGTGGTGCTATCTATCTCAAAATTTTGGGGTGACAGTCCAGTAGGCCAGCTGAAAATTGACTCCTTCCAGCATTGTTCCATCTTCCTCCCCTTCCCTTTCCTTTCACAGTAATCTTTGCAAGGCTTTTTTCTGAGAGCCACTTTCTGGATGATCTACCCCTTCTGACTCCATGTGCCCCCCACACCCACACCCATGCCAAGTTCTGGTTTTCTGAATACCTGGAAAGGAAGAAGCCCTTCTGACCTTACCCTGAAGATCAGAGGTTATACTTGCTCATGCTATCTGGAACTTACTTAGGGCTGCTTCTTCCCACTAGACCTTCCAATCTCTCCCCCAAATCCTAAACTTTTATCTTCCTTTGCCCAAGGATTTGTCCAGTACATCCTATCCATACCTAGCTGCCTATTACCTCACTGGGGACTACCCTACTGTCTCATCCTTCCACCCTCCCTAACTCAGCCAGTCACGGAAACATGCATGTCCCTGTAGTCATTGTTTCCTCAGCCTCACCTGGCCACTGACAAGGTCAGACTGCTGTCAAACGAGTTGCTCTTTATTTTGTGAGAAAGTAGAGGTTGGCAAACCTCATCAGGCAAGCACTTGCGTGCGCCAGGCTATGAAGTGGAAGGTGGAAGACACTTGATGACCAAAAGACTGGGAAAGGCTGGGTACCCAGGCCTGAGTATAGACACAAGGCCACATTGTTTATCTTGGTGATTTTTGGACCAGGGATTATTCTTTAATATACTGATGCTCAAAACATGGTTATTACACCAGCAGCAATAGCACTCTGGAGCTCGGTAGACAGTCAAACTGTGGGCCCCACTTTATACCTGTTGAGTCAGAATCTGCATTTTAACAAGACTCCCAGATGATCTGTCTGACAATGAAAGTTTGAATAGTGCACTGCTCTAGTCTGTAGGTTTCTTTTTGATCCTTCTCTTTAACTAGTTCTTTCTCTTTCATCTTTGTTTGACTAAATCCATTTTATTGCTTATTAACATTATCTTGCCTGTTGTTATTTTCCGTAGGGGATAATTCTAATGACAGATCCACTTAGCAAGTGCCTGTCACATGCCAGGCATATTTTATTGCGGAAAATGAGGTTCTGTGACATGCTTAAGGCCAAACAGCTAGCGAGTGGTAGACCTGAGGCTGTAAGCCAGCTCGTTAAGCTTCCACAAACCTTCCAACTTTCCTCCAAATCGTATCCCCACAGAGTTGATAAAAGTCAACCCAGATTTCCCTATGAGGCACAAAGAGAAGAGAGTGAAAAGGGCCAATAGGCATGATTTCCCCTACAAGGAAAAGTCCTAGCATACTTTTTGTCATAAAGAAGCTTGTGTAAGCCTCCTCAGAAGCCAGAAATTACTAGAATTGGGGCCAGAGGCCAAGGAAAATGGAAATAAGGATTATGAGTCTTACGAAGGGAAAACTAACTCCAAGGGAATTTAAATTCTGATGCTTGAGCCTGGACTTAGGGTGCAACAAAAGCATGTGGGGCTGCTCTGGGAATCTCGCTAATGCACTGGTCAGTGAGGATATTTAGAGCCCTGGGTTGGAGCATAGAACTATATTTTGCTGTAGCTGGAAGGATCACTTGTGATGACTGAGTTCAATGTTTTATTTTTCAGAGAGGAAACAGAAGCCCAGCGAAGGGAGTAATTTGCCAGAGGTCAGAGTAAAGTCATGGCAGATTCACCGATACAGACCCAAAGCACCACTATTCTATCATTGTTAATGGGCACCTTTTCTGCCGTTGGAGCCTCTGGTGTGAAATGGAGTTTTCTTTGGATCCTCTCAGGTGCCTCCTAGGGAGTACAGACCCTGTAAAGATGGCAGGACCTTGACTTTGGAAAATTTCTCCGCCGTTTGCCTCCAGCTTTATAAAATAGCTGTAGTGCTTCTCCTCTGGACCTGGAGGCTGCTAGACCCGGCTGATCTAGGCTTTCCTCTTCTGGGACCCTAAGGATCTTTGGAGATGGCTGGGTGGGGTCAACCCAGTCCAGGAAGCATAGGAATTCTTTTAAGTGTATGTTTCTAGTGTATTTTTCTCCCTCCCATGTATTTTTAAAAATTCTTTTTAGACATCCGCTTTATCTTTCCCAAACATCATTTCCTTGCTCCTTTCCTGAGTTCTAGCAGTGGCTAGGGGCCCAGCTTCCTTATTGGCTTCTGAGCTATGGAGTGGGTGGGACTGGGCTCAGAGGAGGTAGGAGCTGGGAACGAGGGGGGCTGTTTGTGCTACTGGAACTGCCTTTCATCCTTCCCTTTGCCACCAACACGTTGGCTGGTTCCTGGAGCAGCGTCTTCACTCCTACCCAGCAATTGACACTGACTTTTATTCTCTAAGGCTGTGGCCACATCCAAGCCCAACGAGGCTGATGGCCATACCTGCCCTTCAATGCTACTCCTTCCTGTCCTTAAAACTGGGACCTGACTGTGCCTGAGACCCTTTGATCACACACAGGATCTTGGGTTGATGGCTCCTCACCCCAGGTCTCACCTGGAGGGAAGATGGGTTCCAGTTAAGGGAGGACACTGCTGGAGGGGTTGTGATAAGAGTCTCAGCTAGCTGGATACCTCATTCTCTCCAAATCCATCTCTCCGCCCTGGGCAACTTCCATGGTAGGTACAGTCAGTAGCCATGACTGCTATGGCCACTGTCCTTTTTCCATCTTCTCATTTATTTCTTTGATGTCTTTTACTTTTTTGCTTCCTCAGAAAGGCATTTGGTGAATTGAATAGTAGTGGGCGTTCAATGATAATACCTGAGCCAGCCTTAGGAGAAAGGGTATGCCCTGGGGTCATTGCCTCCACACTTAGGTCTGGGCTGCTCAAATCATGGCTGGAATTTTTTCATTTCTCTGCTTGGTTTTCATCATCTCTCTTCCCCACTGCCTAAAAGTGGGATTGTTTCTAGGATTACTAGACCCTTCTTTCCAATTGCTTCTGGAGGGAATGGCTATGGCAAGCCTCAGGCACACACGTTTCCTCAGACAGACCCCATCAGGGAGGAGTGGTCATGTGGTGTCCTAGAAAGAGCTGGAAATCTGAGTCTCACCCAAACTCAACTGGTTACTAGCTGTGTGCTCTTGGCAAATAACTTCAGTTTTCTCTGTCTTTGTTTCTTCATCTGTAAAGTGGGGGTAATAATAGCTCTCACTGCATTAGGTTGGAGTAAGGACTAGAGCAGCTAATGCATGCAAAATGCTTAACACCTGGCACATCTGAAGTATTCAGTAAATGGCTCCTGTTGGGTTTTTTAAAGTTCACAAACTATCTATGTCAGGCACTATGCCAATTGATTTCACACATGGGGCTAAATTTAATCCACACCGTAATTTAAAAGAAAGAGATATGTCATCTTCCCTATCTGTAACTCAAATGTCTGGGGCAGTATGGCTCAGTGGCAGAGGTCTTACCTGGCTGGGGTTCCATCCCCAGCCCCACCCCAAAGAAAAGAAGAACCTGTAACTCAGAGAAGTGACTTGCCCAAGGCCACGCTAGAACTTCAGTACGAGTGTTTACTGACTCCAAATCTAGGGCAATTCAGGATTCACACTAGGCTAAGTATGAAACCCTCTAGAGTTTGCTCTCCCTTCCCAAACTAGGGTTGGAAGTCTCCATCTGTGACTCCAATTCCATCTGTTGGAATTTTCTAACTCCCAGACTTTCATTTTTCTCCTAGTGTCCCTTTTGTCTCCTTTAGGATAGGATCATTTCCTATTTCTGGAGAAACTCTAGGGGGCGGGAGCTAAGGGTACTTTGTAAGCTGCCTTTCCAAGTGAAGCAAAGGAGTGGAACCTTGGCACTTGATGGGTTTAGTCTTTGCGTTTTGTTGTTGTTTAATTTTTTTTGACAGTGCGATCCAGCCACCTGGGATCACAGGCATGCCTAACTTGGTAGGGAGGGAGTACTCTTGATAAGTTTGAGTAAATGACTTATTGTCGTACCCACTATTTCCTGATCACTTGCTTTGGACCAGATGGTTTCAAGGATGCTTTGAGAATATTCTCTGTAATCCCTGTAATAACATAGCCAGGTCAGAACTAGCATTCCCTTTCTCAAGTAAGAAAATAAAACTTCAGTTGGTATAAGTGACTTACAGAATCACACATCTAAAATGGTAGAGTTAGGGGCCCGAGATTTAGTTCAGTGGTGTTGCGCCTGCCTTTCAAGGTCAAGATTCTGAGTTCGATCCCTGGTACCAATACTAATAATGATGATGACAATAACAAAAATAATAATAATAAATAAAATGGTAGAGTTAGGATTTGAGCCTAGATTGTTCTCACTTGTTTTTTCTTATTTCTTACTAGCTTGGTATAGGTGGTAAGATGAGACTATCATGCATGAATCGAGTATGAGCAAAGTAAAATGTCATGTTACTATAGGTTAAAGTGTGATTATTAGATTATTTAGGACAAGTTCCCTAGAGGAGATGGCATTTTCACGGTACCTTAAAGAAGAGGTAGGATTTAGGTTAACTGAGGGCAGGGGGCATTCAAGCAGGAGAGCAGTCATAGTAATAACTTTTAGGTGGAGGGCTGGCCAGATCCAGTTTTGAACACCTGACATTCATTGTCATGTTTGACTTTTTTCAGCAATAACATTAGCTAGATATTCTTATCCCCATTTTACTGCTATGAAAAGTATGGCCCTAAGAAATGAAGTCACTCGCCTGAAGCAACAGAAGCTAAGTGCTGGAGTTTGTATTCAAACCAAAGGAGTCCAGTTCCAGAGTCTGTGCTAGATTAAGTTGGAAACGTAGACAGAAAGAGGAGAGCCAGCTGTAGCATGTGACTGGAGAAGACATGAGAGATGGAGCTAGGTGGATAAAATAGTTTATAGCAGACTTGGAGGCAGCCTTTCCACTTTATATTTGAGGCAGGACTGGGTAAGAAATAGGAAGACAGTGAAGATTCTTAAGTAAGAGTGTGCTTCCAATTTAGTTGGTGCTTAATGTGACAGGATCTAAAAGCAGTGAGTGGAAGTGGAACAAGAAGACAGTGGCTGGAGGGTAGATGAGGTATTGTGAAAGTAAAATAGCAAATGCCTGGACTAGAACAAGAAGTGGTGGTGGAGGATTCTGGGAAGAGATGTATAATTCCGTGCAAGGGTTACAGTGAGAATGAAGGGAGAGAGAGAGAGAGAGAGAGAGAGAGAGAGAGAGAGAGAGAGAGAGAGAGAAGAAGGGCTAGAGGGAGAGGGAAAAAGGAAGGAGGAAAGGCAGAGAATGAGAGAGAAGCAAAAACAGAAAGATGGCACAAGAGAAGATGGTACAACTCAGGGTGGGCTTGTGCCGCTGGGGAAAAGATAATATTGAGGCTGATTATCCACATTCCACATTTTAAATTCGGGACTCGGAAGACCTCAGGAATCCTGGATGTGAAAGAAGAGCCTGAAATGGGACAGGCGACCTGTCTCCCCTTCAGCTTCAGTGCCTAGAGGCATGGAGTATCGTAGATACACATGCTCCATAGAACTAATAGTACACAGGACTCTAGTAGTGGGAGATGCTTCATTTATTCAGTCGTTGTTGAGCACATGACTACTAGGTAGGAGCAGCTGGAGAGTTCTCCAAGCTGAAAGGCAGGAATTTGTATGTGAGATTGTGAAGCAAGTGCAGCCTCCCCGCTCAACTCCTCTTTTGTTTCACCTTCAGCTTCTCCACTCCTTTATTTATTTATTTTATTTTTCTGGTACTGGGGATTGAACTCTGGACTTGGACTTCCGAGGCAGACAGTGGGAAGCTTCTCCACGCTTAGGTTGCATGTGATCGCAACAATGTGATCGCAAAGGTAAAGGCCTCAGCTAGTTTTCCTCCCCCTAATTCTTAGCCACTGCTGCTGATCTGTGACTCTGACAATTGACAAGCAGCTATCCCTACCCTTCTTTCTTCCTGTACCTTCTTATCTGTGTCTAACCTGTTGCCATTCAATCTTTGTACCCCTACTAAACCCATACATCTTATAAACTACCTTTTGGGCCTTAGCCTTGTACCACTAGGAACTTTTATATTTCCACTGGGGTGGGGGCCATTTCCAGCTAGCTTGACTGTCTACCACCACTCCTAGGAGGTAGAGAGCTGATTTAGCCAACCGTACACCAACCTTGTTGAAAACAGGAGCCTTCATCTTACTCAACTCTAAATCATCAGTGCCCAGTATGTAGCCTGCACAGTAACTGTAAATAAATTGGTAAAAAATGGGAAATAAACTACTAAATATTCTGTCATCTATTGATCTATCATCTACTTAGCCCCTGTTTCTCTTACTCTGACATTCATCTCTGTATACATATTTCTCTACAATCTTTTCTTTTTCTGTCATTTGTTTTGTCTCTAACATCTGCCTGCCTGCCCCTCTCTCCTGCTTTCCCTCCTTCCCTCTCCTTCTCTCTCTGTCTCACTCTCCCTTTCTTTTACTCTCTCTCTCCATTCTCTTTTATATACTCTTTCTCCCTCTCTTATTCTTCCTCTTCCCCTCTCCCTCCTATTCTCTGCCCCATCAGTCATTTTTTTACCCCCTTGCATGCCCAGTACCTGTGTCCCACATGTGCTCTTCCCCACTTCCGAGAGTGGCATCTATTTGTGTGAAGCACAATTGGAGACAGAGATGGAATCTGTATGAGCCAGTCAGTGCAAGAGCTGTGGCCAGAGCCTCCAGCACCTGTGTGCACTGGGGGACTTAGCCTCAGACCTATTTCTCTTTATTTACTCCTGACCTGGTTTACAGACGGTCTCCCTATGAGTCTAGCAAGGTGCCATTCATCCGTTTGGTCTTTTTCCACTCATAGAAGTTAGGACTCCTTGATACCACTCTGGCTACAAACTCAAGTGTCTCACCTGCGTGCTCATCTTGTCCTTCACTCTCTCAGTACCTTTACCATGCTTTACTTGGATTAACTCTGTCCCTCTGATGAATCTGTAAGTCCTCAAGGCCAGATTTTGTTTGGTTCATGTAAGTACCTGAGAGCTACATGTATATAGTACCCAGTGTGTATAGTACCCAGTACAAGTACAACAAATGCCTATTGAATGAATATATAAAAATCAGAGATTTCACAGCCCAATGTTGACTTGTTCAATTACTTCTGCCTTCCTTTCTTCCACAAGGAAAAATTGGAAATTTGCAAAATTGATTTTTTTTTCTCAAACAGAAGTGAAGGTAGGCTCAGTATTCATTGGTCAGCAGCTCTCTTTATCCCACAGATATTTACTGACATCTACTATGTGCCTAGCATTATTATATGTATACGGATGCTCCTATGAAGAAAACAGTCCTGTGAAGCTGGTATTCTGTATCTCCAGGGATCAGGCTGGAATGAAGAAGACCCAAGTACTGGGAGCTGAGGGAGGCCCTCAGATTCCCACACCAGTTCCTTGCAAGATGTTCTACATCATTGAAGGGAAAGAAGGGGTGGGGGCGGAAGCTGCCTGGGAAGTGATTTCAGCCCTGGTTCCTTAAACTAACTTCCCGTCCCTTTATTGCTGTAGGAGAAACGCCCCTGTCAGTAGACCGTACTCATGGCATGTGTCCAAGCTGCTGGAGGGATGCCCTGAAGCGGCTACCACCATGCATTTTCCTTCTGAAGCCTTCAGTTTATCTTGGCATTCAGGTTGCAACACTGGGTAAGTCTGGAGCCTTCCCCTCAAGGTGAGCTGAAGGGCCTGGCCACTCCTTCTTTTCTGTGCTGGTCCCTGCTGGATGTTTTAGAGCCAAGAGTGGTAGAACCGAAAATGATGTGGGAGTCCAGATTACCTCTGCTCTTGTCCTAGTCTACTGCTAACTCTCTGTGACTCTGTACCTGTCCCTTTTCTTATGGAAAGTGTTTTTTTTTTAAATACCTCATTTGGCTTACAGTACACCACACTGTCCTACTTCTCATCCTGTTTCACAAGCTGCTCTTTCTCAGTCTCTTTTCCTGATCTTTTCCATATCCCTGCCCTATTAATATAAGAGAACTGACAAGGTTTCATGCTGGCTGTGTCTTCTGTCTTCAGCAATCACTGGGGATTTCATCCAGTGTTTATCAGCTCTATTACAGGGCCAAAGCTTCCAAAATGGAGACCTTCATGAAGAACAGGGTCTACCTGAAAGGAAGATCACTCTATTCAGGGACGTCAATGTCTTGTCTTGTTGAAACAACTATCCAAGTGGTAGGCAACTTTTTGAGACATTCAGAGCCAGCCAATGTGCTACCCTTAGCTGCCTTTTCCTTTCCACAACCAGATCTTCCCTCCAAAAAGGGGTTTCTATACCAGAGACTTAGGGAAATTAAGGGTGATTTTGTTTGGCATTTAACGCCAGAGGCTTAGGGAGAGGTGGTTTTGTCCTAGAGGAATACACAGAAACACACTCTGAGCTGGGCTCCTTTTTGAGTGGAGGTTGAGTGGGGGTTTTTTCCTTCATTTTTCTCAGCAGGAAGGGTGGTAGAGAGACTGGCAGGTTCTTACCAACAAACTGTTGGTGGATTCTTAATCTAGAGTGCAAGTAAGCGGAGTGACTAAGGGGAAAGGCAGGGAACAAGAATTAAGGGATGCAGACCTAAAGTTTTGGAGGGTGGCTGTCACAGCTCAACTGTGGCTTTCTGGACTATGGCCTTTCTAAAAGCAGCCTGCAGCCTCTGGAGTTCCAATCAGAGGGAGTTACTGGCATGACTTGGCTCACTTTGGCTATGTGTGTGAGAGATGGTACTTAAAATTGGAGATCACATCTGCTGTTTGTCTCCCTGGTTGGCCTTTCCTTTGGGGGATGTAGGATGCATGTGTGGGCAGAGGCCACTGTAATATCAATATTGGTAGTCAATATTGGTGCTGATGCCACTAACAACAATCAAGAGAGCGGCCACTACCATGTAGTGAGCCTTTGCTAGATGCCTAGGCTATAATAAAAACTCTACATGTATTATCTGATTTTATCAACACAGAAACTCTCTGGCACAAATTTCACTATTGTTTCCATTTAAAAGATGGTATCAGAAAAAAAATATTGGACCCATGCAGGCCTGGGTTCGAATTCCAGCTCTTTTTCTTTATTGTAATAATGAATTTCTCAGTTGATTTTTACCTCTCTAAGCTTCAGTATTCTCAGTTGTACAGTAGCAATAATGTTCTCTCCCAGATAAAGTTCCAGACACATTGTCAGTCTTCAGTAAGTAGGATGGCTATTATGAAGGAAAAATGCTGGCCGGGGATTTAGCTCAGTGGTTCCACTACCTGCCTCGCAAGTGCAAGGTCCTGCGTTTGATCCCCGGTACCAAAAAAAAAAAGGTGGGGGGAAATGGGGGAGGTCCAGAGATAGAGCACTTGCCTATCATGTTCAAGGCCAGAAGAAAAGAATAGGGCAATGCCTAAATTCCCAACCTACCTGTGCCACTAGTTCAACCTGCATGATCTTGGGAAAATTACTTCTTCAAAGTCACTTCCTTTTGCAAGTCTTATTTAATTGACACCAGTGATTTTCAAAGGTAGAGGCCTTGGACCAGCAGCTGGGCCCAGCAGCACGTGGGAAGTTGTTAGAAGAACAAATGTTCAAGATTCAACTGGATCTCAAACTGTGGAAGTGCTGGTGAACCTATGGCACATGTCCCACTGCAGGCTGTTTTTAATCATTGAAAGCTCTAAAAGGTTTTCCATCACTACCCTAGGATAAGGCCTGGTGACCCGTGTTATAACAAGCCCTCCATGTAATGCTGATGCACATTCCAGGTTCAGAACTACTAATTTATGAAATGATCTGGCTGAAACTGAATCAGCCCTTTAGGACCCCTGTCTAATGCTGATTTTCTGTGACTATTTCTGCTGGCAGAGAGCCACATGCTGACTCCCAGCAGACAGTAACCACTCAAGAGCAATGCCAAACTTGATGGCAGGGGAATGATGCACAATTCCCATGACATTCTTTCACTTGCAGTCTTTGTCCTGTGTCCCCCATTTTACCATGTCCCTGCAGTACCCCAGTATCCATCTCCTTCCCTATTACACTTTCTCTCTTTCTTGCCTTATTGATCTCACACCTGTGGAATGAGTGCCTCAGGGTTGTTTTGCCCTCTCCCATGGTAGGGCTAGCCAAGGTGTGAAATAGAGCTAGTGGCTTGGCTGATTAACCAGTGTTCCTTTTGTCTTACAGTGACGTGTGTGTGCAGTGGTGTCCTCTCTCCCGGCACTGCAGCACTGAGAAAAGCAGCTCCATTGGCAGCATGGAGAGCCTGGAGCAACCAAGCCAAGCCACTTATGAAGGCCACCTCTTGCCCATTGAACAGAACATGTATCCTAACCAACGTGACTCAGCCTACAGCTCCTTCTCAGCCAGCTCAAATGCCTCCGACTGTGCTCTTTCCCTCAGGCCAGAGGAGGCACCCCCTGCAGACTGCCTCACACAAGGTTTAGGCTCAGCTAAGGCTTCCAATGCCAGGGCTAATGGGTCTGAGAACTCAGGAGGTAGCCAGCACACCAGCACTGGCAACCTGACTCCCAACTCCCAGATATCATCCCACTCACAGGAGGTCCACCACTCAGGGCCTGCCAAGACAGTCAGGGGCCCACCGCAACCCCCAGTGAGGCGGGACAGCCTCCAGGCCTCCAGAGCCCAACTCCTCAATGGAGAACAGGGCAGGACGTCTGAGCCTGCAGACTCCTTGCAACAGAAGGAGAAAACAAGCTTAGACACAGTTCTATCCCCAAGGAATCCTCACAGGTTCTGCTGCCTCAGCGGGCAAGACCATGAGACAAGCGAGGACCATCAGAACTGTGAACTCAGTCAGCCTCCTGAATCTAGCCAGCAGGGATCTGAACATCTCCTCATGGAGGCTTCTCTCAAAACCTGTGACAAAGCTTCCAGCAGAGATGCCAGCCTGCTCAAAGAGACACCAGCAGAGCTAACTGAGGCTCCTTCCTTTGGCAGCCCTCCACACCTCACGGTACCCACAGGGCATCGCCATAGTGCCCCTGAACAGCTACTGGCATCCCACCTACAGCATGTGCACCTGGATTCCAGGGAATGCAAGGAAATGGAACACCCAGCTGGGCAGGATGCACAGCAGTGGACTCTGTCCCCTTTGCACAGCAGCCACAAAGGGAAGAAAAGCCCATGTTCCCTTCCAGGAGGGTCCCAGGATCAGCCCAGCAGAGATAGAAAGACCAGGCCAATGCACGATAGGCCTCTGAATTCAGGACTCCAGAGCCAAAGCAGCTCTCCACATGGAGAGGCTGATGGGTGCCCGTCACAAAGAAGCTTCCTGGATGCAAACAGAGCAAGCAGAGCAGGCAGTGACTTGGCCAGCCAGCAGCCTGCTGCCTCTGGCTCTCTCTTTCAACAAACCAAAGACTGTTCTTCAATCACTAAGGTAGCTGGCAGCACAGAAGTAATGGAGGAAGGAGATAGTGAGCCCAAGGAGTATAGTCGGATGGGTGGTAGGCAAAGTGGAGGCCCCCGGGGCCGCTCAATCCAAAATCGAAGGAAGAGCGAACGTTTTGCTACCAATCTGCGTAATGAAATTCAGAGGAGGAAAGCCCAGCTTCAGAAAAGCAAGGGTCCCTTGTCAAAGCTGTGTGACACTCAGGAGCCAGTGGAAGAGACCCAGGAGCTTCCAGAAAGTCTTCCACTTCCTGTCTCTAACTCACCTCTTCTACCTTCAAATAAAAAACCCCCTAGCCCCAGAGATAAGCTTTTCAACAAAAGCATGATATTCAGGGCTAGGTCTTCAGAGTGTCTTAGTCAAGCTCCTGAGAGCCTTGAATCTAGGACAGGCTTGGAGGGACAAATAAGTGCTGGCCAGAGGCCTGGTCAGTCCTCTGTGGGCCTGAACACCTGGTGGAAAGCATCTGACCCGTCTTCTTCAGCCTCTGAGAAAGGACATTCTTACCATGGAGTCCGTGGAGGTCACCGAAAATGGTCTCCAGAGCATCACCTACCGCCACATGTGGCACTAGCCATGGAAGGCCCTTCCAGCCCAAGTGACAACAAGGAATTGAAGTCTTCTATTACCCAACCTGGAGAGGAAGCTGTCCTTTTGCCCTTTGCAGACAGAAAAAAGTTCTTCGAAGAGAGCAGTAAATCCTTATCCACATCTCACTTGCCAGGTTTAACTACTCACAGTAATAAGACTTTCTCCCAGAGACCAAAACCTATAGACCAAAACTTCCAGTCAGTGAGCTCTAGCTACAGGGAATTGAGGTGCCATCCGGTTGACCAATCATATTATTCCACAGACCAACCATATCATGCTGCAGACCAGTCCTATCATTCCATGTCATCCCTTCAGTCAGAAGCTCCCACTTACTCAGAATGCTTTGTAAACAAGGGTCTGGAAAATTCTTTATGCTGCAAGCCACTGCACTGCAGTGATTTTGATTGCCACAGGTCCTGCTCTTACTCCTGCAGCATTCAGGGAGCTATGGTTCATGACCCTTGCGTTTATTGTTCAGGAGAAATCTGCCCTGGCTTGCTAAAGAGAAATATGATGCCAAACTGCTACAACTGCAGGTGCCACCACCACCCATGCATACGGTGTGCAGCTTGCTATCATAATCCTCAGCACAGTACCCTTGAGGAGAGCAGCTTGGCACCTGGCAATGCTTGGAAATCCAGGACGCCTACAGTGCAGGTGAGGACTTGGTCGGTGGAGGGTTGAGTTTCCTTATTCTCTTTGTGAGAAGGAAGAGAGGTAAGTCATTTGAAAATGTAATACTTATCATTCTGCCTCTACCAGCTGGTAGCTTGGTAATCTTAGGCAAAACGCTTAGTCACCAAAATTACAACACAATACACCTGTGCATCTCGAAATTAGATGAAAGTAACTTTTGCTTTGTTAGATGAACAGAACTGGCTTTTCTATCCTGAATGTAAAATTGATCTCTGAGTGCCGTTAAGCATTCAACTACCACAATTCGAAATTATATGATTTTGAAAAGAAAAAATATTTACCTCATAAAATAGCCAGTACTAAGAACTTTTTCTTATTACCTTATCTCTAAAGTTGAAGAGAATCAAGGCAGACTCACAGATCAATTGTGAGGATCAAATGAGTTCTTGTGTTTAGAGCGCAAGGTCAGTGTGCAATATGAACCAGCACTTACTGTCTTCCATTTATTTCCTGTTCAAAAACTATTTGAAACCATAAAATTGGCAAATACTCCCCTAAATTTTGCTTTCAGAGATCTGACTTATCTTTGTTTGTTTGTTTGTTTGTTTGTTTCAAAGACAAATCCTTCTCCTCTTCTCCAACCTTTCTGTTGGAGACTCAGGTCTACACTGGCTGCTGTCATGCCGTGGTAATGACCTACCACCCTAACACAAGCTCTTGCCTTTCCCCAGCGTTCTTTTGGGAGGACACCTTATGTCCTTGTTCCCTCACTGCCAGATTTCAATGCCACCTTTGGCTGTTGAAATCGAACCCAAAATGAATTTTTGTATTGAACTGTTGCTTCATAGGCAGACATTTCTGAAATGACAGTGTTTGAAATTGCTTGGTATATTTTATTTGAAAAAAAGGAAATTTGGAAGTGAAAGCTGCTTTATGCAAAAAAGTACTTACTCTATAGTTCCTTTTATATAAGGTCTAAAATAACTATACCTATGGGAAAAAAATTCAGTGCTTGCCAATGACAAGCAGCACAGAGACTGGCTGGGAAAGGGCAATGAAAACATGTTCCTGATAAAGATTCTGCACGGGTGTATCTGCCAAAGTCAACAAATGTACCCTTAATATTTGTACATGTCTGGGAAGTAAATTTTTCCATAAATACACTGTAAGTGAATACAAAA